CTGATTAGGGTATTTCTTCCAGGAAATTAATGGATTTCTAAATGATTATGTGGATTATTTTCAGCAGATACTTTGACAAACTACCATGGCTCAGTAAAGTTCCATACTGTAGTCTAATTGTTACTGTTTTGAGAGATGCGGACTCACCCATCAGAACACCTGATACGCTGCCTTTCCTGTGACTCAGCCTGTTTCCAACAGCTGTTTTATAACTTCATAATTATAGGGAGGCACAGATGAATTTTGTTGTAGCCCAAAATACTTGTATAAATGACAAGTCAGCATAGCCAAAATGCAAAAAAATCTGCCCTCTTGCTTTGACTTGGCTAATAACAAAAATTTTCAAACTCATTTTTTAAAAGGACTAATGTGTCCCCTTAGAGAAAGTGGCCTGTTCCAGAATGAAAATTGAAATAGTGAATGCAGGGCAGAGAAGCAAAGGGTATGGATTAACTGTATACTGTTGTTTAATAATGATCATTATTATGTAATGAGCATTGCTTACTTTTATATATTTTTTTTTCCTTATTGGAGAATATAATATATATAGGTAGGCCATGACCATTACTAAACAGTAGGGGGTTTTTTACTGTGTTCCGTGGAATCCTAGACTTCTGTGATACAGCCAAAAAAAAAAGTAGTTGTCAAGCACAGCTAATTTTTTACTAGAGCTTTGCTTCTTGATTAGGGGTTCCAAGATTTTATTTTATTTTAACTTAACAGGTTCCACTGCCTGAAAAAGTTTGAAAACCTGAGCTACACTACCTGTTTATTAATTATCAATTATTTGTTAAGCTGTTATGCTACTCCATTCCAGATTGGATCTGAGCAAATCAGAAGAAAAGACAATGCATTAAACAAGAGACAATACATTATTAAAGGTGCCCAAATTAACATTCACTGAAGCCCTCAATAATCATCAAGTTTATAGTGCTGCAAAAGCCCAGCAGGGAGGAAGTGATGTGCAGGAACAACCTGTTCCACAAAAGGGGAGCTATCAGTAATGGGATCCCTGCATATGGGACCTTCAAAACGTTTTCTCTGCCTCATCTCACTGGATGGGCAGATTCATTTCAGAGCAAGGGGACTTGGAAGATATTCAGGCCCTAAGCAAGCAGGTTTTTAAGGGTGATAAACAACCTTGAAGTACACCCAATGCAATTCCTGGAGGAGGCAACTTTAGATGGTGCACAATGTTCAAGGGCAGCCCATGCATCCTGTCACCCCTTTATCCTCACCACCACCTTGTGGACCAGGCTGCAAGCATTTCAAGATCTTGCTCAGTACCATTTCTGACTGAGTTTCCATGCTGGTTGCCCAAGTTTTAATCTCACTGGACATTTTGGTCCCTGCATGCCCATGTTGGCTTTTTTTGGCACCCACCTTAAGTCATGAGAGTCAGTAATTCTTCCCTAAATGCAAGAGAAGCCTTGGTTGACAGGCATAGAGAGCCCTGAGAAGATTGTCATGACCTGTTTTAACTGCTAACATCAGAGCCACAGACAGCATTCTAAAGTAAGGGACAAAGGAAAAGCAATACTCCCTCTAAAAATTTTTATGAAGAACTTGGAAAAGGTAAAAGCCATGACACCATGAGTCACAGTAGTAACCCATGATTAAATGAACCATGATTTGCTATTTCACACATGTAGTGGCAATGCGGAAGACCATTATATTTTGAGGAGTGAGGGGACATTTTTAATTTCTCCTTCATATTAAGAAGGGTATAGAAGTTTAGAGTTCACTCTGAGTCATAATAATGTTTAGCTGATTTGTTTTTCACTCTTGCTTGGGAGTGGGGGAGAAGGGAGGAATCTTCACACATTGTAGGGGAGGACCTCATGATTGTTTAAGTTAGCACTGGCTTATCTATCCAGTTCCCAGGCTCTTGGTTCATGATGAGCAGGTGCACCATCTAGTCAAGGTCAGGTTCTCCAATCTCAGTACCATGGAAACAGGTCATGAGGTTTTAGTGGAAGATAGGGATAAAAGACCCTGGTATTGCCTCTTGAGCTTGGAGCATGGGCACGGGCCTGGCGCCAGAAGCTGTTATTTGGGCCATTTGGGGTGTCTCCGCTGTCATTAAATTGGGGCTCCCGGCAGCAAGGGAGATTTGTTATCATCTTGCTTGGTATGTTATGCTTGGTATGTTATGCTTAGTATGCTATGCTTTTATATTGTATGCCTTTGTATTTCTGTTTATATCTGTCTGCTAGAGTTAACAATAAAGCTTAAAATCTCACTTGCTGGTGTGTTCATTGTCTCTGGATCTAAAAGAACCACTTGTCTTGCACCTGGCCAGCGCTTGGCAAAACATGTCAATTAAGCTATGGTTTACCTGGCTTAATTAACCTGATTTACTAATAACACGTGGTTTACTGAATGAGCCTCGACTCACACAATCCACAGTAAAGGCTCCCTTGACTCCTGGTGGCTATAGAGACAGATCCATGTTGTTTTCTTAGCAACAAATGGAAGTAGCTCGCTAGTGCCTTCTGCAATATTTTTTTCAATCTTCTACTCTTGGTGGTTTCTGCTCCAAATACTCACTAGGCCACATCCTGCTTATCTGCCTAAACAAAGTTAACCAGGTATTGCCATGTCAGTGGCCAACTACAATCATGCTGTTGTGCAAAACCTGCTAATGTTTACTAAATACACACCAGTCAAAAAAGACATTCACATGTTTCAATGCATTTATTAAATTCTTACAAAACAGAATACAAAAAATTCTGGCATCAACAAGGTGTTACAAAGGAAAAAGTTCCATCAAGCTGAATCAGTTCACCTGGTACATAATAAAGTGCTTTGTTTTTTTTTTTTTAAGATTTTTAAAGTTTTTTTTTTTAATTTGTCATTTTCAAACCAGTCTCTTGCTGAAGGACTCTTGCATCTATAGTCCCCAGTGGTGCATTAAGGTGACTTTATGTCAGAACACAAAACCTTTGGCAGACTTTTATGGTAATCAAAGGAAAATATTTTTCCTGAACTGATTTTTCTCAGAAAAGAAAAGAAACCTACTTCACAGTAAAATGCTAAATAACCAGTTCTAAATAGACTTAAATTGAGGAGAGGAGGGCATTAAGTCAAAGATGCATCAAGACATTCCCGTCCTCATATATGCAGCTAATTAAAACTCATGGAGGTACAAAACAAGATGCTTTCCAATAAAAGTTTTTACAAAGAAAAATACTGAGAGGGTGGGATACAAAAGGTTTAAAGTAAGAACTTTGGCAAGAACAGATTAATCTGTGCACAACTAATTAGAAAGTAACAATGCAAATTATAAATATGTGGAAAGCAATCTTGAGAGAAAGTGGATGGTTGAGATGTTAAGGGAGCATGTTGGAGGCATTCCCATGTCTGTCCAGAAGCACAGATCCATTAAGAACTAGTGACTTTAAACTCAGTTTAACTCTTTGGGCTTCCAAACCTAGGGAACTGTGCAGAGCGGGACAGTGTTTAAGGCTCTCCAGTGGAGAGGTGCTGTATGCCCATTTCACATAATTCCTTGGGGTTAATACAAATGAGTAGTCTAACACCTCCAAGCACTCCATCTCTCCCATCCGTCTAGTTTCCTCTGAATTAAGAGGCAAGAAATCTAAGCACCACCAATTTTGGTCACACGCACAAAAAGGAGCACAGTGAAGGAGAGGAAGGTAAATCAAGGGGGAAAGTCTAAGACGGCTTTCTCCAATCTGGTAACCTCCAGATATGCTGAGATTACAGCTTTAGATTATCAGAGGAAACCTGCATTGAAAACAACCATTTCTAGCTTAGCTGCGCTACGAGATTTGGGAAAGAATGCGCCCAAAATGCCAAATTCCTAGTCTTCAGACCCATTTCCCATTCAAATTAACTAAGTGATGAAATTTCAGCAGGGGCTACTACATTAAGTGTAGAAAAGCCATCCATGGCCCACAGTATCTCCAAGTTGAGTGTGGAATTTGGATGCACTTAATATACTTCTTCAAAACCTGAACTGTCGATGCACCTTCATGTTGCAAAATCAACTCCAAACCGAGATGGAATTCCACATTGCAAAGGAAATAAGGCAAGTTATGTCATTTTGACAGAAGCCTTTAAAAAAAAAAAAAAAAACCCACCCCAGTGCCAACAGATCACAACCACCCCTTTCAGTGGGCCACAGAAATGTCATCCTTTCAAAATAGAGGACAGAGTTCCCTTTCGGGCACACCTGAATCCTTTCACTCAGATATTCAGATCATTCACCATCCCGGAGTAAGATATGATCTTAGCAATGTTTTTCTATGAGATTGCTCCACTTCACCCATGCCGCCAAAAATGATTTATTTGCTTTAAAAACCTCACTAATTAAAAAGCACGTGCTCAATTCTGACCCATTGCTCTTGCACATATGAAAAAAATGTGCAGCCTTGCAGAGAAGGGCTACATATGTTAAGATGAACAACACACAGGAGGGGATGCAAAAGCTATTATTTGGTGCTCTGCATGATTTTTTTCTGTAACCGTGCACAATTCTGTCATACAATTCCAAACACTTCGTAAATTATCTAGGATGTTTTGTTTCTTAAATATCAGGCACAAATCAGAGACAAAAAAGGGATCTCTGAGCAATCCTTCACATGCTGACATACTCCTGAGAAGTATCCTTATTTAAAAAAGACCGATGCACGGTACATGTTTCACCTTAAGAATGCTGGTCTGAAAGGTACAAGTCACTGTCCACCATTCCCAACCTATCAGTATACCATAGGCATCACAGGAGTCTCTGGTACACCCATTTTGGCCCTTTATTAATAAAACGGAGGGAAGTAAGAGGCAGTTCTTCCCCTCCCAAAGTAGTATCCCAAATGGTTGGGGAGGAGGACATTACAGACATGTTTCTCAGATGAACCAAGCACACACTGGCCCTATAATCAAAGTGGCTTAGAGTTTTCACAGACCAAGCTAAAATGCTCAGCCAAATACAGGTACCATGTCACTTCTGGGGAATAGATGCTCTTGAAGGAAAAAAAAGTGTAAATACACTCATAACTTTTGATACGCTGTTCTTAAAACTGTCTTTCTTTTGAAGGACAGACAAGCAAAAACAGCAAACAACAAAAAAAGCAGGAACGAAGCATACTATGTCCCACCACACAATTTAAAACCAGTTTAGAACCATTTGAATTAGAATAGTACAGGGTTTGGGGCAGGAAGGAGGGCAAGACAGCATGTCAAGTTTCCACACTGGCTTAAAATGTGCTGTGCAAACGTCCAAGTTTCCCAGCTTCTTTTTGATGCAACTCTAGCATGCTTAGCAACAACCATGGTTGCTATCCAAACTGAAAGCTAGTCCCTTCGCTTCTTATCCTGAAAGGATTAAATATGTCATCCCTAGACAATTTCGAAGCCATCTGCTACAACTATAGGACAGCTTTCTTGAACAGTGGGCATGAGCCCACCACTGTATGTTCAAGTAATTTCTTGCCGCAAGACTAAGATTTATCATCAATAACAAAATCCATACTTATATAGAATTTTGTTCTGAAACATATGATAAAAATTCTTTGCTTTAAAAAATAATTTCTCCAATGTTTTAGCCTGCTCAGCTACCAGTGTATTCTGTACCTCACATTCTAGACTGTCCCCTCTTTCCACCCCACTCCCTAATAATGAAAGAGCATCTGTTGGAAAAGACTGCATGGTCATAAAAAGCAAACAATAATACTAGAAGGGGGATCCATCTGTTTTACCCTCTGTCAAGAAAGTAGAGAAAAATATCAAAAGTAGAAAAGAAAGGAGGTGACAAGTTATTTTACAAGCCTCCACACTTATAAAAAAAAATCAATATCCTGCAGTTTTGGCATCTGAAAAACATTATTTCTCTTTCTCTGCAAAAAGAATTCAAACTTCTTTGCATAGTATTGTTACTTTAAAAAAAGTCTTTATTCAGAGACAAGCATCATTCTTAGATCACATACGCCCACATGCCCAAATGTGCACATCTGGATAGGAGCTGAGGTCAACAGCAGAAGTTTTGCTACAACCACTTAAGATGAGTTTATATACATGGCTGTTCAACCAATTCTGCAAAAGTACCAGAGAGGATCCACCTCATATCACTGGATAAAAAATTCCCAAGGCTTAGAAAGGAGAACAGATAGGTCAAACTAACCTTAAGACAATAACCAAGACTTTCCCTCGCCATGCACAGCAAACCACACTAAGTTTCAAAACCACCTCCCTAGCTAGTTTTTAAAACTACTTTCACCTCCAAAGTGAAACTACAGGTTGATCCCCCCCACTTGGTTCCTCTGAAGGAAGCCCAACAGATTCAATAAGCCTTCCCATCCATACCTGTACACTTAGAAATGCAGCCCTTCACCCATCAACCAGTCCTACACATACTTTCTTAGAAGCAAATCCAGCAGAATTCAGTAGGAGTTGCTCCCAAGTAAGAATGCATACGGCTACTTGCCCTGTAGCTTATGCGTAAAGAAAGGCAGGCAGAAATAATACTGGATTTGAGCACGGCAAAAGGATCTGCCCACCCGCACCCTAGTCACAGCTGCCACCGTATCAAGGCACCACGCACACATTCAAGGATATTTTCCAATCGATATCATGATGCAATACTGATTTATGTGCAAATGTTTCCACTGCCCGGATGTGTGCACAGTCTTTTCAAGAAATTTTGGGAGCAGGACTTGGGCCTATGTATGTCTGAGAGCAGGGGGGAAAGGGGGAGAGGGGCTCAGCATGCACGTTTGAGTCTCTCCCAGCAGACACAAACAACCAACAGTCTAATTTCCGGGTGTGCCTGGAAAGCACCATCATGTTTCATTATAACCCAAGCCTTAAGAGGAAGATAGTATGCCTTTTTCCTCCTTCAGCTCTCGACCTATTAACATAAAATAATGTCCTTGGAAGTGCCTCTCATCCACCATGACTGATCCATGGTGAAACAGGATATCAACACCCAACTGTGTTGACAACACTGAGGACAGTCTCAAATCAAGGGTGGTATCAGGACTGAAGGTCCCCCCACAAAAATGCCCTCTGCTGGCCCTCTCCTCTAGACTCAGCATTAACCGGCAGCAGCCAAGCTGCATCAATCCTCATGCAGCAGCTGGGATCTGCCATTTATTTCCCACAATGCTCCTGACTTAGCCCTGATTTCTTATGTTGCAGGCGATTCACATTATGACTCTCAGGCTTAGTTGCTCAACACTGGAATACAATGGAGGGATGGAGAAAATCATGAGGCCCAGACAGCAACAGCACAACTTATTGGCCATCATCTGGCAATGCTTATGTTAATGCTGGGCCAAAACTTTCAGGCCAGACCAGACAATGAGAAGAGGAAAAGGCCAAACAGGAACCCTAACCGAATACTATTTTCATCTTTCTTCCCATCTTTCTTGGAGGGTCTTCCACCAGAATTTCACCCGATTATGCTACTTGCTAACTGCTTCAAATTCACGTGTTGAAACCAATTTTTTTTAAGAAAAACCTTTCCAACACTGAATCCTCCAGTTCCTTCTCTATGAGACTCTATATGTACCCAAGTACACCAGCTGTTTCCCTTCCTTCCCCTCTTCCAAAAAGCAAGTTTTGACCATTTGAGCACATCTGCGTACACCATCCTGAGTTTGATTACAGTTCTGCCCCCTTCTCCCCAATTCACAAGCTTACAGCAGGTCTAGCTTTAAACTAGTTTCATCATCATTCTCTTACACAAAACCCAGAATTATAAGAACTGAAGTTCTGTAGAGGTTAGGGGCAGGGGAGGCTAGAAGTTCCCAATATTAATTAGTCCCCGTAGGAAGCAATCATCCCTGAGGAATCAGATCTATACTGGTACAGTATAAGTAGAACCGAAGTTTAAAGGCTCCAAAGACTGGGAAATATTTCAACATAATTCCCTCAAGCCGTATTTTGCCTTTGGGATGGGGAGATCAAACATAATGCATCACCTCGGTTTAAAAAATAAAAATAAAAAAAAGTAAAAAACAGTCACCAAAAGTTGTAAAGGATTGCCATAAACTATTCTGCCACTGTAAGCCTACCATAGGGCATTCTACATTTGCAAACTCAAAAGCGTTCTACGTATCTCTATGAATATTTTTGCAAAGTTTTTACAGCCCTGCAGAGGATGGTTTAATTAATGTTGACTACTTCCCATTCAGATTAAACCTCACTTTTTTCTTTTCTTTTCTTTTTTGCAAGAGCTTACTCTATGGAAGGTAGTAAAATCTTTCCTTTTGACCAGAACTTTTCTCAACTCTCCTTTATGTCCCCTTATCAAACAGGAAAAAAACATAAGGGATTAGACTCAACTATGGTAGATCCTAAACATGCACCCCTTTTGCTCTTTAAAAAAATTGGACCCCTCCCATGTTAACAGGACATATCTGGATTGAAATAAAATAAGGTTCTTGTATCATCTGCAGCTTGGCCCCTTGAAAAGAAGAACTACAACAAAATACAAAATAAGTGCTGTGAACTTTTCCAGGAGGTGGGGAGAAGGAATCCCATCCTATATGCTTGGGTTTCCTCTCCCCTCTTCTGTTTATATCCCAGATACTACTACTTTCAGCTTATAGAATCCGTACAGTTTTAGGGAAGACTTTGCAATTTTCCCTAAATTCCCCATAAACACTCATACAATCCACGGACTGTAATTGTTTCCCCCCCCCGAAGTCACTCCAGTGCTATTGGGAAACAGACAAAATAAATCCCCACCCACTTCTCAAACCCTACAGAAGTTTTTAGGTGCAGAATCTGAGTAGTTAGAAGTTTAAAAAAAGAAAAAAAGAAATCAATAGCAAGGACAAATTAAAACAAACGTAAAAAAGCAAACCCTCTCAAACATAAAAATGCTACGTTTAAAAGTTCAAGCTTGGGGTGGACAGACAAGGGAAAGGGTTTCTCCTTTCCCTCTTTCACAGTACAAGAAGCTGAGAGAGGGAAAAAAAACAGCAGCCCCCCAGATAAGCTATCCTTCAGTGGGGAGGAAAGGGCAACTTTTTTTTTTTTTAAACCTTTTAAGCAAAAATTACATGTGTATCAAAATGCACTGGGAAGAGGGGAAGCACAGGGGGAATAAGAGTTTAAATACCTGTTGTCGCTTTTTTAAAAAAAAGACAGAGAAAGGAACAAGAAACAAAACAGCCCGTGTTGAACAAGATCAGAAACAAAAAAGAATCCTTGGAAACCAGCCAACTTGATCTTTTTTTTTTTTAAGCTATTCAAGCAGACCTTTTTTTTGTCCGAAAAGATAGAAGGAGGAGGGAAATGGAAGAATGGATGTATATAAGGAAAGGCAGTCACATGTGATCCCCGACCAGGACCAACGGGGTAACCAGATGCTGGCTGGGGTTCGCTTTAGCCATGTTTGTCTTCTGTCTGCGTTTGGCCAGCTTGGATTCGGAAGGAGGAGAGAGGTGCATAGAGCATGAGGTAGCTTTGACGATAATGGGGAGGGTCTCCTCCGCAGCCTCTTCCTCGTGCTGCATTAACTGACGGTTGACGGCAATGGCTTCGGCAGCAAACGATGTCAACTCTTTGGCACTGCTGTTCCTACCAAGGGCAAATTAAGGAAAAGGAGGGCAAATTAAGGAAAAGGAAGGCAAATTAAGACTATCTGGCCCCCCTTGCTTGTGCATATCCCACCACTAAACAGTTAAAAATCTGGGTGCAGAAAAAGCGTTTTGGGCCCGGCATTAACTTGTTTTGCACGTTTGGGCTCTGTGGGACTGGCTCTGCTGAAAGCACAATTTGGGCTACGTTCCTCGCGGCTTAACTCTATGGGTTTCAGATGGTCCACTGTCATGGTGCCTGCCCTGAGATCTGGATGGCACTTCCAGAAGGCCATGAAAACCTGACTCTTCCCTTAGGCATTAGGGCTGGGTTGTTAGCAGAGTTCAGCATGTGTGTGTTTGTGACCTGTTTGCAAGATGCCTCAGCTCTTGTATTTATTCTATTTGCTATTAATTGTATTTTTAATTTTGTTTTACAGTGGTTTTGTATTGTTAGCCACCCAGAATGATTTGCTTGAAGTGGGGAGCCATATAAATTTTCTAAATAAATTGAATTCACTGAAGGAAGGCTACAATAGCAGCAGAACTGCCCACATGTTTTCTGGCACATCTTTGTAAGAAGGACTTGGTGTTATAAAGTTCTACACTTTTCATTGGTAATTCCTATTACTTGTTATTAAACTGATGTTCTACACCTTAAAATTACCACTGAAATAGTGGTAATTATATACATTTTATATTGGTTTATGACTGAAAGTTTGATAATGCAGCAGAGATTAGAAAGCTGTTGCTTTCCATGTATTCAGTTTTTGAACAAAAACAGATTCCCAGGTGACAAGAAACCTCATATTTAGCTGTAATTTTCTACCGTGGAAGTTAAGAAATATTTGAGATACACCTCAACATTCTTATTTATTAAAAGTATTTCTATAATGCTTCTTAGCAGGGGTGTTCACTCACCTTTGTAGGATGATTGGAGTGGGGAGCGTGTTATCAGGAGCACACTAGGAGCAAGAAAAAAAAAGGAGTTATGTTGTCATCATGATAGTCATCTAGGATCGCCTACAATTCCTTGCAGACCTCAGTGCCCTTTTAAGTCACACCTTCTCTGCATTTTTCCATGACAAAATTAAAGTTCCATTTAAACAAGTACAATGGAGACATGTCAACCCCATTCAAATGTATAGTTTGGTAGTTTGCCTATTCCTAAATAAATAGGTGCTTGCTCACTAATTGAGGTGCGCTCTAGACAGGGACAGAAAACGCACTTCACAGAAAACAGTAGATGTCTGAGGCTTCCAAATCTGTAAGGTGGTGTTTCTCAACCTTACCAACTTTAAGTTACACTATGTGGACTTCAACTCCCAGAATTCCCCAGTCAGCATGCTGGCTGAGGAATTCTGGAAGTTGAAGTCCACATAGCTTAAAATTGAGAAACATTGCTGAAAAGTAAAGCTGCGTTTCAATCAAGCCTGATGGCTAAGGATCTCACGGACACATCCACACCGTTTTCGTGGCTTCAATGAATGCCATACCTTCCTCCTATTTTTTAAACTTCGTAGTCTAGCTTACATTAACAGTGAATCATCCTTTGCCCCAGATAAGCACAAAGGGAAAATAAAGGATCATATGTCCATCTTTTGTCCACCTCACCCAAGGATGCTCACCCCTTGTACCCATGGATGCTTGAGAACTTCGGCCGCGCTCAGACGCTTTTTGGCATCTCTTACAAGAAGCTTTGAAATGAGGTCTTTAGCTTCAAAAGAGATGTGAGCCCAGTCCTTGTCCGGGAATTCATACTTCCCTTCCTGAATGCTTTCAAACAACATATTCTGCAAGAAGAAAAAGTTATGTTAAGAGAAGAAGCCAGCACATCTAAAAATAATAAGAAAATACATACAGAAGCCAATTAAGACATTTCTAAGAGGAGGGGAGAAGCAAATGGAACTCTGGGGGGCTTTGCACTGCTGGCAAACAGGAAGTGCCATCTGGGTATGATCACCTGGCAAGCAGGGCACGCTTCACCACGGTCCCAGCCGCAGTCGGTCCCACAGTGACCCACAAAAGGGGGGTAGCCGCTCAGCATGATGTACAGAATGACTCCCAAGCTCCACAAATCACAGCGCTTGTCATAGATAGACGCTTCTTCGTTAAACGCCTCCACCACTTCCGGGGCCATATATTCTGCTGAACCACACTGGGGGAGGGGAAAAAATTCAGAGAATGGGGGGGTGGGGAGAAAAAAATAACCGCCATCAATTTAGACACTGATTCAAATGCAGTTATTCGTGCAGATGCACACGCTCTACATGGACAGGTCTGTCCCCAGTAACTATAGAAAAGCATAATCAGGAAAGATAAGGTACTGACTTCTGCAAGGATTTATCTCTGATTATTCTTTTGCAAACAGATGGAGACATATCTTTTTCTCCCTTACATAACACCTAACCATCCCCAGTGAAATTTATTGGCAACAGAATCAGGAATGGTAAGACAGTGATAAGGCTATCTTCCAAAATTGGTCTGGTCAATGACTAATCATGATTGCACAATGAAACCAGGTTTCAGCAATATTTCTAAACCTCAGATTCCATGGAAGTCAGCAACATGGGATGCTGTTGCCTTCTGGCCACGTTGGAAATAGGAAGGGGGCTAGCGCCCTGCCCTCATGTACTCTACAATGAAAACAGAACCTCCCCTCACAAGCGCAGTCTACTTCCAGCTGCCAAATGCTCGACAAGCAAGAATAAAAGACTCCTGCAAACCTCAAACTGCAGAGGAAGATACAAGCCTGACCAGAGTCAGAAACCAGATGCTGGGCCAGATGGACCAGCAAGGCAATTGTACCCTTCTTATTCTTTGGAAGATACCTTCTATTTCAGCTGGCAAAAAAATGGAAGCCTACTGGCAACACATAACCCCAGCTTCACCCAACATAAATATAGCCTAAGGATATTTTTAAGGAGTCCCTGGAAGGAAGATGGGAGCATCAACCCTCAGCTGTGATCTCCCAAGGCTGCTCCAAACCTCAAAGAAAGAATGGCCAAGAGGTTGGAGGAGGTGGACAAGAACCTACACACGAGATACGTCCAAGGACCAAGGCTTGGATCCTACAACTCAGCCCAGTTGGCCATCCTTTCCTTTCCTGCAACAGATCCACAGCCACCTGCACATCTCACAATCTCAAGAGGGATCTGAGCCCCCAATATAGAAGCCTGGAAAGATCAGAGTACAAGATTCAAATTCCCTGAAAGCAAACACATTTTACCCCAAGGTCTCCTAAAAGGCAGACACATACCAACCGGATTCACACATGTTTAACCCAAGATCCAGGTTAACCAATTATGATTACTATGTTTACGTGAAATGCTATGCTACAGACATAGTCTGGTTCACTTAATATGCAAAGTTAATGGCTGAGATCCATAAGATATTAAACTACAAACTACCCAACCTCATTTTAATCTAGTCAGTGTTATGTGACCCAAACCATCCAGTCCATTTTCAATACAGAGAGTTCGTACAAATCCAGATACAGATTTTTCATATATGATAGTTCTTTTTATTTTCAATTGCCAAGTGAAGCTGTTAATTCTCAACTAATCAGCAAGATTCTTCCTTGTCCCAAGCCAGCATTTCCCAAAATTTTAATAGTAGTCTATAAATGTTATAAAAATGCAGGTTCTTTTGGCTTTCATATTAGAGGCACACTCAGAAAGATATATTTATTTTGTACTGTGTTTCTTGGTGCTCTCTGAGCTATTTTGTTCTATCTGCTCCTAAAGCAAAGCCCCATTCTAAATGTGATTGTATGTCATTCTCCACCAGCCCCAACTAATACTCAGTGATTATGCAAATTGGGGGTCTTGCCTCATCTCTGATCCTAGAACAAGCAAGAATTCCCTTGGAAACAGGATTTTCCAGTTCATATTAGTTATTCTGGCTTTCTAACATCTTAACATTTCTTTGCCAAGCTTGTTAAAGGGTTGGAATAGGGCTTTGGGGGAGCAGGAAGAGGAAAAATTAGTGTTGCTTCCAGATTCTCCCCATGCCAATGCTACACGCATCACACCAATTGTGATGAGTCTTTGTTTACTCTTCAGAGTGGTGTCACTAGTTGGAGTTCAGTGCTATACTAAACCTTGATCTATGCCACAGAGGAAAGATCCAAGAACACATGTGATCCCCAGAAGCATTGCATCACCTCCCAGAAGACTCCAAAGGTTGCCAACAAATTGGAAGATGACCCATTAGGAAAATTGTTAAATACATAACTGGAGAGCAATCATCTTTGCTGTAATTTTAAATATAAAGGAAATGTAGTCAAAGCTAGTTTTTATCCTGGTTCTACCAATCCTTTTGGAGAATGTGGCCTTCAGCACACAATTCAAAGGCTAATTTGAGTCCCAAAACTTGCATTCCCTGTTGCTGAGATGATGATCAAGAGTATTCTCATATGGTCAGAGACCAAAGGACCTGTCATAGAGAGTTTCATACATCACACATGGTAGCTTAACTTTCCCTCAGAAAGGGGGAAAGGGGCAAGGATAGAGAATCATTATCTTGATTAGTATTTCTACCAGAAACCTTATTCTGCAACAAAGATGCAAAACTGAGTTACTGGGGAGTTCCCAGCCATCATATTCCATTTTTATCTACCTCATATCTCTACCTGGCAATTAGCATAGGATCAAGAAAAGCTAATGGCCCTTCTAGAACCTAATTTCTCAGCTGATACTCTTGATCACCAAAATCAGAGTTGCCCCAGAGCACTGTACTTCTCAGTGTAAAACACTGGAAGCATTTGGCAAGGTCAACTGGAATCCATTTAGTCAATCCTGTTGGCAACAGAATATTGACTCAGCTTAGACTTCAGGACAGGTCCATCAGATAAATCTTGCATGGGAGGGAAAGAAAGCATAAACAGATGAGAGTTCCCTGGGATGAAGCCTAGAGGGGAAAAAGGGGTGGGGGGAGACACTGAAGACCTGGATTTGCACAAGATGGGCAAATCCTTTAAGCCTAACCTGTTTCCAAATCACTTGAATCACTACAGCAAAAATAGGAGGCAGGAGCATTATGTACACTGCCTTGAGTTGTACAAGATAAAAATTAGGATATAAATCTAATAATAATTTTTTTAAAATGGTTGGGCCCCTGCTGTGGAGCATCCAGGTCCAAATACTGAAAAGAAAAAGCAGCTGTAATTCCATCACGTCCTCCCCAAGGCAGAAGAGAATGCAAGCTCAGCTTTTCTAGAAACAAATATTATATGGAAGATATGAGCAAAGAAGTTTTGTATAGTGCCCCAATAAACTTACAACTGTAGGAGCTTATGGGCAGGGAGCTGTCCAGAAGACTGTCTATATTAATCATAAAAGGTATACAGGTAGTTCTTGCTTAACAGCCACAAAAGGGACCAGAAAATTCATCATTACCTGGGGCAGTCATTAAGTGAACCATTACGTGACCACACCTGATTTTAAGACCTTTTTTGCGGTGGTTGTTAAGCAAATCACCAAGATTATTAAGTGAATCACATGGCTCCCCATTGATTTTGCTTGCCAGAAGCCAGCTGGGAAGGTCACAAATGGTGATCACGTGACCCCAGGACGCTGCAAACGTCGTAAGTGTGAACTGGTTGCCAAGTGCCCAGATCGCAATCACATGACCGCGGGGGTGCTGCAACAGTCTTAAGTGCAAGGACCAGTCGTAAATTTTTTCAGCACCATCATAATTTCAGACGGTTGCTAAACAAATGGTTGTTAAGCAAGGATTATCTGTGAAGTCTCCCCCAAGTTGGATCATTCCTGGAGACATCACAAAGGAGATATTTACCTTTCAGCATCCACATACATGAAGCTTTGAGGACTTCCCCATCCATAAGGAGATTACAAATTTATTTATTTAGATCTACCCTCTAATGAGAAATGAGACAAGGTAGGGCATGTAATGGGGAGAAGAAATACATATGAGTGGTTTCATGTTAATTTTTGTCCACCAAGTAGTGGGGGAATTCAAGAATTTGCAACATATAGGCATTTCGGCAAGGAATTCCAGGCATATGTCTGTGGCAGGTCCTTAATCTGAGAAACACAGAGGGCAGACAGCCATTCGTTAGCTAGGAAGGAAAATACACTCTTCACATGCTCAAAGGGATCCTTCCATACATTCCATAGCAAAGATTCCAACAAGTGAACTGATGAACATTTCCCTCTCTATTTCCTTCCCATTATGCAAGTCATAATCCACCTCCTGCCTGCAAGATTAAAAAAACACTGGAGATAATAGCTGGAATTCATTCTATCTATCAGACACACACACACACACACACATACACACACTCATGCAAGGCACTGAGTTCACCCTTTGCCACCTCCCACCGTCCCTGAATACAGCTGGATTGAACCGGCCAGGTGCAAGGAGTCACAAGTCCCTCGCTTGCACCGAGGTTGCATCAGCTGCCAAATTCCATTCCTCCCTTTTCAAAAGAAGAAAAAAATATGATTGCATCTAACCTGGACAAAACCCCGAGAACAGGGCAGGGCAGAAGTCTAGAACTTGCTCAACCAGCACGCCGTGGGAGCTGTGGCCTTGCATTGTGTTTAACTTCCCAGCTAAGCAGTGCCTGCAGGGCACGGGAAACAGAGTCACTGGGAGAATGTTACGTATCCCTTGACCCAGCAAGCTCTTCAGAAGGTTAGCCAAAGCTCCCTGAATCTCAGATGAAAACAAAACCCAACACGAGCCCATGCCAGATTAAAAACAAGTTCTAGACCTAGCTCTGGTCAGAAACCACCAACTGGCTGCGTTCATCTAATTTACTACGCTTGAAATGGTATTAACACACCACAGTTCCTTGGCCACTTAATGTGCCATGGCCAAATGAAGACACTGTATCATGGCTAAGCATGATGGTTGGGCTCATGCAACAGACTTAGAAAGATGGCTTTGACCATCTTTGGGGTGAACTCAGTTACAGGAGATGAAGTTACGTGTTCACACAACTCACCACTGCCCATTTACACTGACTGGGTCCCTCCTGAGTTTCAGAAAGGTCTTTTGAATAGGAGACCCTTTTGAAACCTCTCCATACAGGTAGACTGTATATTTTCAGGTATAAATCAGTGTTTCTCAACCTGGGCAACTTGAAGATGTGTGGACTTCAACTCCCAGAATTCCCCAGCCAGCCATGGGAA